CCTTCTTACACACTGCTGATCCATTTGCAGTGCCCTGTGAAGAACTGCTGTGTGCCCATTCCTGAGGGTTTTGGTCTCTAGTTTTCTTTTTGTATTACCTGTCCGGTTGTGATGTTAACGATTCACACAGTCACCACAGATAAAGTCATTACAGCCTCCACTCTTCTGCTGTCATCCGATCTCCAGGTCCCTGCCGGCGGTGACACTGGCCGTGGCGGTCCCCGGGCTCTGTTCTGAATTACGTTCCTTTCACTGTTGTCTAGGTCTTCCTTCTCACACAGGCCATGTCTTGCAGGTCTATGTTTGGGCTCATTTTTTTCTCTGCAAACTGTAAATCATGCCGCCACCAAAATGGGTTCTGAATCCAAATACAAAGATGGCATCCAGTGGAGTCTTCTCCCTCTTCACTAGCGTTCCCCGAGCTTCTGTCTCAGGCGCTGTTGGCTTCCTCGGGCGAGGGGCCGTGATCGTTTGCTGAAGTGATAGTGATAGTGGTCGTGAACTTCCAGGTCCAGACAAGTGCTGGTCACGGTGACCCTCTGCCCTCAGGCAGCCAGGGAGGAGCAGAGCCCAATGCTGATTTTATAAAATGACTTCATACGGTGAACTGGAAGCACTCCCTGCTTTTCTGTTTTCTGGTAGAGAGTGTGTAGAGCTGATACTAATTCTTGAAAAGTTTGGTAGAATTCTCCCATGTAACCATCTGTGCCTGGAGAGGTTTCTGATTGGGTAGTCTTAAAGTTTGGAGTCGATTTCGTTAGCAGTTATATTCACATGATTTGTTGCAGTAGTTTGTATTTTGAGTAAGTGATGCATTTCTTGTAAGTTGTTAAATGTATGTGTGTGAAGCAGTTTTTGGTATTCCTTAGTATCCTTTGTTTGCATAGCGATAGCCTCTTTCATTCTTGGTATTAGCAATTTGTGTCTTTTTTTTTTTTTCTGTATCAGTCCTTGTGAACAGGTTTGTCAGTTTTACTGATCTTTCAAACTAGTTTTTTCCATTGATTTTCTCTACTTTTTCTGTCTTCTGATCTTTGATTTCTGCTCTTAGCACCATTGCCTTCCTTCTGCTTGCTTTGTGTTTGTTTTGCTGTTCATTTTCTGGGTTCTGCAGGAGGGAACTTACATTATTGTTGGAGAACTTTTCTCTCTGTTGCTCTCTTTTTTTGTTGTTTTGTTTTCTTAAATTTTAATTTATTTGAGAGGCAAAGAGAGACAGAGACGGAGAAAGAAACAGAGACAGATAGAAGCACAGAGAGAGCTCCCTTCTGGTCACTCCCCAGATGCCCACATGGCCGGGACTCCGAGCAGGAACTCTGTCCAGGTCTCCTATGTGGGTAGCAGGAACCAGCTGCTTGAGCCATCATCAGTCCTCCTAGGGTCTGCATTAGCAGGAAACTGGAGTCGGACACTGGAGTCGGTATCAAGTCCAGGTACTGCAATATGGATGTGCGCATCTTAAGGCTAAGTACCTCCCACCTCTTCTGCTTTCTGATGTGTGCATTTGTCGCCGTGAATTTCTTTCTCAGCACTGCTTTAGTTGTGTCTCACAGTTTTAGATCTGTTATATTTTGATTTTCATTTGCATTGATGGATTTTTTTTAAATTTAATTTTATTTATTTTAGAAGGATAGAGGAGAGGGGGCTGAAACAGACCAAAGCCAAGAGCTGGGAACCCAGTCCAGGCCTACCACATGGGCGGTAGGGACCCAGCTGCTTGGCAGGTTGCACATTATCTGTAGGAAGCTGGAATCCGGAGTGGGGCCAGTACTGAAACCCAGGAACTCCAGTATGAAACGTGGCTGCTCCAAGCGGCATCTTGACGGCTAGGCCAACAGCCGTACCTATCTCAGTACGTGTTTTTTTCATTTCCCTTGAGATTTTTCTCTTTGATCCTTGTATTGTTTACAAGCATGTTGTTTCATTTTCAAAAGTTTGGAAATTTTCCTGTTATCTTGATTCTACTGTGATCAGAAGACATGTTTTGTATGTTTCAAGTCTTTGAAATGTGTTGGGATTTGTTTTAAGGCTCAGGATATGGTCTGTCGTGTTACATGTGTTATGTCATGTTACATGTTATATCATGTTACATGTTATGTTACACATGTTATGTCATGTTACACTGTTACATGTTACACTGGCACTTGGGGAGAATATCTGGTTATGCTGCCCAGGTCACTTAGACTGTTCGCTAACTCTCGGTTGCATCCTGTTGTTGGTTGATGGTATTGTTGAGTTCTTCTATATCTAGAAATTCTCTTAACTGTCTAGCTCTTTTGATTGTTGAGAGAGGGGTACCCAAGTCTCCAACTTTAACTGTAAATTTGTCTGTTAATGCATTTGGTTCTATCATCTCTTGCTTTTATATTTTGCAATTCTGTTGTTTGGTGCCTACACATTTAGGATTGCCATATCTTTTTTTTTTTTTTTTTTTTTTGACAGGCAGAGTGACAGTGAGAGAGAGAGACAAAGAGAAAGATCTTCCTTTGCCGTTGGTTCACCCTCCAATGGCTGCCGCGGCTGGTGTGCTGCAGCCAGCGCACCATGCTGATCCAAAGGCAGGAGCCAGGTGCTTCTCCTGGTCTCCCATGGGGTGCAGGGCCCAAGCACTTGGGCCATCCTCCACTGCACTCCCTGGCCACAGCAGAGAGCTGGCCTGGAAGGGGGGCAACCGGGACAGAATCCGGCGCCCCGACCGGGACTAGAACCCGGTGTGCCGGCACCGCAAGGCGGAGGATTAGCCTAGTGAGCCGCGGCGCCGGCCCGCCATATCTTCTGATGGATTGATCCTTCAGCGTATAGATATCCCTTTCTGTCTCTAGGAATTTTCTTTGCTCTTAGTCTATGTTATTGAATACAGTCACTCTGCCTTTCTTTGATTAATGATTACATAGTTCATCTCTTCCCATCCATTTGCTGTAAGATGCCTGTATTACCACAAGTGCAGTGAGTTTGTTGTAACAACATGCAGTTGGATCATTGCCCCTCTTCCAGGCCAGCTCTCTGCTGTGGCCAGGGAGTGCAGTGGAGGATGGCCCAGGTGCTTGGGCCCTGCACCCCATGGGAGACCAGGAGGAAGCACCTGGCTCCTGGCTTCGGATCAGCGTGGTGCGCCGGCCGCAGCGGCCATTGGAGGGTGAACCAACGGCAAAGGAAGACCTTTCTCTCTGTCTCTCTCTCTCACTGTCCACTCTGTCTGTCCAAAAAAAAAAAAAAAAAAAAGAAGTGGAGCAGTTGCGACGTGAACCAGCACCCATTTGGATGCCAGCGTCACAGGCAGCAGCTTTACCTGCTGTGCCACAGCGCTGGGCCCCAGATCATCTTTTTAAAATCTCTCCACCAGTTCCTTTCTTTTAATTGATGCATTTAGACCATGTACAGTTAATGTAATTATTGGGCTGTTGGGACCCAAGTCTCATTTTATTGTTTTCTGTTTCCTCTCTTTTGATTTTCTTTTCTGTTTTCTTTTCCCCGCATCCCTATGAGTTCATGAACATTTCTGTAGTTCTTTTTTGTGCACATCTGAAGCCAGGTCTCCCATGTGGGCTTCAGGAACCCAATTACGTGAGCCATCATCTGCCGCCTCCCAGGGTGCACATTTTCCATGAAGCTGGAATGGAAAGCGTAGCTTAGAACTTAACTCAGACACTCCAGCATGGTTTATGGGTGTGCCAAGTGCCCACCCTGTATAATTTTTTCAAACTGACATTCTGAGTATCCCACTTTGTGTGCATGGTTTATCACAGTCTACTGATGTTGGCACATTACTAGTTTGAGTGAAGTGTAGACGCCCACCTCCTTTTACCTCTTGGGTGCTGGTGCCCCAGATAGTCCTCCTGCCTAAGAGGAAACATTTGCTTGTACATTTAGAACTGTTCAACTTGGCGTCAGCTGCCATGGTTTGGGACACTCAAGAGGAGGATGAAAGTTTGTTATATTTACCTTTTGTGTCTTGTTCATGATTCTATTTCTGATGCCAAATGTGTCACCAGCTGGGTGTCTTGACGTGTAGTTCAGTTCTGCACTGAGTACCCAGGTCATCATCAGATTTCGCGGGTTTAAGGGCTCAGTCCCCAGGACTGTCCCTGCTTTGATGCCAGCTGCAAACTGGGTAGTGAGGCTGCTCGCAGTGTGCCCAGCTCCCCGAGTCAGGTGTTCTCATGCGGTTCCTTAGCAAGGCTCAGAGGACTGAGGAAAACATTTTCCCTGTGTTTACCTGTTCACTAGGGGTCTTCAAACATTGATGAAAAATTATATGACAAAAGCTGTATGGGTTTAAAAATGTTTGCAGCAAAATAAACGTTTCTTTTAATTCCATTTTCCACGAACTTTTTGAAGTATATCCTCATTTCATAATGGATACAACTCAAAACAGCCAAGGAGAAGAGATTCATAAAGCAGCGGGTGGGGAGGGAAGCTTGGCAGGTGGGCCACGCCAGTGCCCCTCACCCGGAAGTGCCTCAAACCACTCTCGAGGGTTTCTCAGAGAAGGGTTATTCTGCGGGCAGGCACTGAGGCACGGCCTGTGACGCTGCCCTTGGGCTGCCTGCATCCCATGTCAGAGTGCCACTTTGACTCCTGGGCCTGGAAGCTGGCTTTTCTCTTTCAAGCTAATAGCTCTAACCCTTTGCACAACATCTTTCTTTTGCATATCCTACCCTGTTATGAATCTTTGATGCCAGAGGGACAGACACATGGAGTTCCCCCATCCTTGTTCACTGGGGAGGAACCCGCATCAGCTAGGACTTAGTGGCTTGGCCAGCGGGACTGCACACTGGAGGGCGGAGCCCGTGGTCCCAGTGGGGTCCTATCCCTTATTCTGTCTGCGTGGTGCTTGGTCTTAGTTTCTTCGTCGGAGTCAGTGATGTGAGGGTTAATCATTTATTTTACCCCTTGGCACACAGGTTAAGGTAAATAATTCAAAGACAGTAGCTTGCTCATATTTAAATTTTATTTTAGAAATATTTAAGACATTTAAAGTACTATTTTTTTTCATGTAGATATTGAAGAAAGATTTAGACCGTTTTATTCAAGTCATTACGAGGAATTCGTAGAAGAGGATGTGAAGAGCTTAAAGGTAGGTACCACAGCAGAAGCTCAGCACGTTAGCCTCTGTCAGAACCACATTACCAACCACGAGAAGCAAAGCGGTGTGATTTGCTACTGAGATTTTGCGATGAAGCCACCATGTGCAGACATCGTCATGTCGGCACACTAGACCCGTCCCTGCAGCAGAGCCGATGTGCGTGGTGACGTGAAACAAAAGCGCAGTGTCCTGGGAAAGAGTGGAAAGTACAGGGAGCGGAGTGGTCGTTCTGAGGAATTCCTGAGAGAGCGAGAGACAACAGAGCTGTATCTGCCGAGACGTCTTAGGAAATGTTAACCTAAAACCCGGCGCTGAGGGAGACGTCCTGGAGGAGGTGTGGGAGTGACCGCAGAGGCGCCTGGGACGCTGACAGAGGCCGTCCTGTGGAAACCCCGCGGTGCTGTCTATAGGAGTTGGCTGCCGACCCCTGTCCCCTGTGTGCAGCAGTTAGGAACTGGGCGGCACGGATACATTCAGGAATCAGTGTACTGCCCGAACTTCCCGCTGCATCCCCCCATGAGCATGAGAAACATGCCACAGCACATGAAACAGGCGAGCAAACAGACTTCAAAATACAACAGAGAGGCAGGAATTGCCAGGCTTTTGAGAAATGTGCAGACTATAAAAGAGGCATATCCAGTGCAAACTGAGAGGGCAGCCAAAGTGGTATCAGCATAAAGCATTATCGCAAGGACTCAAGAGTATTTCTGAATGATTAAAGGTCCGATTGACCGGAAGATGCAACAGCTTTAAATATGAATGTACCCGTCATCACATGCCCTTACCGTGAAAAAAGCAAAAAATGACAGAACTCAGATAAATGCATAAATCCACGGGCTTTGATACAAGCATCTCTAATTGATAGAACAGAGACAAATTAGGAAAGATGTAGAATATTTGAAGAACAAGATGAGCAAAAAACAAAGGCTAATAAAACTGACTAAACTTAAGAGGCAAGATTGAAATGATGACTAAGGAGGTATTACAGTAGACCCTACACACATCAGATGCTATAGAGAGACAGTTATTAACAACCTTTTGATAATTAATTTTAAAATTTAGTTAAAATGGAAAAATTTCTAGGAAAGAAGTGTAACATAGCAAAACTGACTGAAATAGAGAAAGGTGAATAGGAATATGTCACCATTCAACAAGGTTGATGGGAGGTGGGCGTGGCCTAGCAGGAAGCTTGTCCTGCTTTGGGGTCCCTGGGTGGGATGTTAGTTCTGCTTCTGACTTAGCTCCCTGCCCCTGCGGACCCTGGGAGGCAGTGGTGATGGCTCGCGTGACTGTCTTCCTGCCACCCAGGTGGGAGACCTGGAGTGAGTTCCTGACCTGGGCTTTGGCCTCAGCCAGGGACGTTGTGGGCATGTGGGGAGTGAATCAGCAGAAATCGCAGGAGTGAGTGTGCACCCACCCTCTAAAACAAACAAACAAAAAGCAGAAAAGCCCACAGCTTTTAAAGGGGTTGCATCGTGACCAAGTCTTCCTACAACCAAAGAAAGCCCACGGCCACGCAGCTTCATCAGCGACCTCTACCAGTACTCAGAGATGAAATGATCGCAGTCTTCACACATCTCCAGAAAATCGAGAGACTTTCAGACTCATCTCATGCCAGCATAAACTTGATTCCCAAATCTGAAAAAGAAGGCATAAGTACGAGAAAGGAAAATCACAGCCAATCTCCCTTAATAGAATAGAAATAAAAATCTTACATAAAATGTAAATAGACTGAGTTCATCAGTGGACAGAAAAACAGTTGGACTTATTCCAAGAAACCAAAGTTAGTTCAGGAAAGTCTGTCATTCTAATGAATTATCTTACTAAAAGGAAAAAAATGCCTCTTTTCAATGGATGTAGAAAAATCAGTTGTTAAAATGCAGCGTATATTCATAATTAAAAATATTAGCAACTCAGGAAAGGGAGAAGTTCCTTGCCTGGTAATAAGGTATCTGACATAATCACAGCAAATACTGTTCTTACTAATAAAATATTAACAGCTTTTGTTAGAGGCACTGTGTGAGACTAGAATGCTGTCTCCACCATTTCTAGTGAGTGTGCTGTAGTGGAGGCCCTAACTACTGCCATAGAGCAAGAGAGAAGAGGGTTGCAAAGGAGGGACCAGGATTGTCGTTATGGGTAAATGATGGGATACCTACATATAACATTCAAAAGAATCTTTTTGAATCCATAATAGGATTTTTTTGGTTATAAAATCAGTACAGGAAAAAAATTAATTTATGTTTTACCCACCACAAATAGTTACCAAACGAACTTTTTAGAAAGAAAAAAAAAGAAAAAGAAATTGCACTCTTATCTGTACCATACCAAAAAACTCCAGGCCGATGACTTACATAAACGGGAAAAACAAAAGAATACAGCTATTGGAAAATCTCATCGGAGAAATTCCTCCTGCTCTAACGTTAGCAAGTCTTCAACAAGATACAAAAGCATTAACTGTAAGAGCAAAAACTGATAGATTTGATGAAAGAACGTACTCCTTGAATAAGAACCCGTTATGGGATGACCAGCCACGGCGGGGGGGGGGGGGGGGGGACGGCTGCGGCACACGTGTAACTGACAAGACTCCAGTGATATCTAGAGAAATCTTACAAATCCCAGAGAAGAGGATCGGGGGTCCCACTGAAGCGTGGATGACCTCTCTGAACCTGCACTCCGTTTGGGTCTGGTAGTTAGCAAGTGTACAGTGCAGTGGTATTAAGTGATTTAAATGATTGTGCAGCCATCACCACTATCCATTTCCAGAATTAAAAAAAAAATCATTCCAACAGAAACTCTATTACACAGTGACTCCCATCCCTCGCTCTCCTGCCCATGGAATCGGCTCTGTTTTCTGTATCTGAATTTGCCTGTTCTGGGAAGTTCATGGAGATCAGATAGAATATTTTTCCGCTGGGTCTGGCGTATTTCACTTAGCCGAGAGTTTTCAAGATGTTTGCGTTTGGTAGCACTATCAGAATTTCTTCCCTTTTACGGTGGACCGACATTCCCTGCAGTGCTGCACCTCACTGTGTTTACCCATTTACCTGCTGATGGGTGCTCAGCTTGACTGTTGTGAAGAACCACGTGGCGAATGTGGCTGTTGACATCCCTGCTTTGCACTCTGAGGACAGTCCTAGCAGTGGGATTACTAGCTAAGAAGATACTCTGTGTTCCTGTTAAGGAACCGTCGAGCTGTTTCCCACAGTAGCTGTGTTGTTCTATATTCCCCGGCAACAGGGTACCAGAACACCATTTCTTCCCATCCTTGCCAACACTTGTTACTGCCTGCTTTTTGTTTTGTCAGAGCCATCTCTGATGGTGGCTTTGATCTGCCACCATTGTCATTAGAGCAGTCTCGTGGTGGCCTGGATTTGCATTTCCCCAGTGACTTGACGAATGTTGACTATCCTTTCCTGTGCTTGCCGGACATTTGAAAATCTGGATGAATGCCGGGTCTTTAGCACAAGTGTTTCTGGGTTGTGTTTTGTTACTGAATTGCAGCAGTTCTTTATCTGTTGTGGATGTCTGTCCCTTACTGGTTATGTTTGATTTACAAATGCTTTCCGACTCTGAGGGACGTCTCCTTACTTTCTCGATAGTGTCTTTGATGCAACGAAGGCATGAATTTTGATGTAGTACAGTGATGTGGTACAGTTTATTTTTACTTTTGTTGCCCTTGATTTTTGTGTCATTCCCAAGAAATCACCCCCAAGACCAATTCCATGCTTTTCTGCTATGTTTTCTGCCAAGAGTTTTATAATTTTAGCACTTTTTATATTTTTGATCCATTTTGAGTACTTTTTGTATATGATATAATTAAGGGTTCAAGTTCATTCTTTGATATGTATATATCTGGTTTCCCCCTTGAGTAATCCTGGCAAAACTGTCAAAAGTCAGTTGGCTGGCGCCGCGGCTCACTAGGCTAATCCTCCACCTGTGGTGCCGGCACCCTGGGTTCTAGTCCCGGTCGGGGCGCCGGATTCTGTCCCGGTTGCCCCTCTTCAGGCCAGCTCTCTGCTGTGGCCCGGGAGTGCAGTGGAGGATGGCCCAGGTCCTTGGGCCCTGCACCCCATGGGAGACCAGGAGAAGCACCTGGCTCCTGGCTTCAGATTGGTGCAGCGCGGCTGTAGCGGCCACTTGGGGGGTGAACCAACGCAAGGAAGACCTTTCTCTCTGTCTCTCTCTCTCTCTCTCACTGTCTAACTCTGCCTGTCCAGCATGTCAAAAAAAAAATATATAAAAAATTTAAAGTCAGTTGACCATAGATGGGAAGATTGATTTCTGGGTTCTCTTCTGTTCCATCGGTCTACCTGTCAGTCTTTATGCCAGTACCATATTTGATTACCCTGGCTTTAGAGTGAGTTTTGAAATCAGGAAGTATGAGTCTTCCTCCTACTTTGTTCCTCTTTTTCAGGATTGTTTTGGCTGTTTGGCAGAAGCACCAATTTAAAAAAAAAATTCCTGCTTGTATGATCTGTATGAAATTTCCACCTTCTGAAAAGATTGATTCTCCTTGCAGTGATTCTGGAGCTGAACGTTCCCTGGTGTTGTGCTTCTCTTCACAGAAGCGGTATCCGGAGCAGAGTGCAGTCGTGAAGAGAATGCAGTCTCTCCAGCTGGACTGTGTGCCAGTGCCTCCGAGCAGGTCGAATTCAGGTAACCTGCACCGAGCTCAGACGTCTCCATTCATCCACTGGCTCTTTCCTCTCCTGAACACTGTACAAAATATTCCAAAAAGTGCATGGAAAATTGAGTTAAGAGATAAGTTTATTTTGGTACCGACAAGTTTGAAATCAATGCATAATTGTTTTCTTCATCTTTTAAAAATGTTTTCTTTTTTAAAATTTTTATTTATTATTTTTTTTGACAGGCAGAGTGGACAGTGAGAGAGAGAGACAGAGAGAAAGGTCTTCCTTTGCGGTTGGTTCACCCTCCAATGGCCGCTGCGGCCAGCGCGCTGCGGCCGGCGCACCGCGCTGATCCGATGGCAGGAGCCAGGTGCTTCTCCTGGTCTCCCATGGGGTGCAGGGCCAAGCACTTGGGCCATCCTCCACTGCACTCCCTGGCCACAGCAGAGAGCTGGCCTGGAAGAGGGGCAACCGGGACAGAATCTAGCGCCCCAACTGGGACTAGAACCCAGTGTGCCGGCGCCGCGAGGCGGAGGATTAGCCTAGTGAGCCGCGGCACCGGCCCAAAAATGTTTTCTTAATACTTTGTTTCTTTTAATATTTTCCATGAGCTTTTTGAAGAGCCTTCATGTGGGAAACAGAAGAAACTCTGCCTTAAAGGGATCCATAATGTATTCAAGAATCAAGTGAAATATATTGGAAATAGGAAGTAATCAGTATTCTCACTAAAATGACCAGAGCTTCCTAAACAGGAGCGGCGTAATACGTCTGCTAGGGAGAACGTGACAGGAGAGAACGTGACAGGAGAGAAAGTGACAGGGGAGAAAGTGACAGGAGAGAAGGAAGGGAGAGGGTCAGAGGTGACTGGATCCAGGGCAGAACTGGCAGATTGTCGTTATCATTTGCATCATGACAAGAGGGAAGCCGCGTGTTAGCTGTCGGACCTGGGGCAAGTTACTTCCCACTCCTGTGCCTCAGCCAGCAGATCGTGGTAACGGCTTCTGCTTTCATAGGGCTTCCAAGGAATGGAAGCCTTCCTAGAAGTGCTTAGGACAGAGCTACGGCTGTCTTTTCTACCGGCACCCCTGTAAGGAGCCAGCCGCCCTCCCTGCTCAAGCCAGCCTCTGTCTTCCCTGGTCCCTATAAGACTCACTTTCCTGTTGCTTGTTCCCGCGCTCCCTCGCTGTTGGCCAGAGGCTGTGTGATCTGTGGAACTTGGGGGAGGAGGACCCTCTGTGTGCCTTGTTCTTGCCTCTTGCTTGTTTTCAGCTTCGTGACCCTGTTCAGGCTGTACTTTATTTTTCACGTTTTCTGAAGCCCATTACAATGTGGATCGTTCCCTCCCAGCCACGGAACAGCCCAGCTCCCTGCACAGTTCCCAGGGCTTCATGACGGGTCCAGTGGAGGTGTCCTTTTTCTCTGCCTGCCCTGAGATCTCGCAAGAAGAGAATGAGCCCAGCCTGCAGAGTAAGCTCCAGGAGGAAGCCAACTACCATCTTTACGGCAGCCGCATGGACAAGCAGACGAGACAGCCGCCCAGGCAGAGTGTGGCCTACAGCAGAGAGGAGGAGAGGAGACGGAGGGTTTCCTATGACCCTTTTGCTCAGCAGACACCCTATGAAAATGTTCAGAAAACAGGAATAAAAGTCCACAGTTACCCTGGTACAACCAGTCATAGCAATGCAGCACACCAACCAACAGGACTAACCAGCCAACCCCAACTGCCATATTGGAACAATGGAGTCTACAGTCTACATGGTTTTGGAACAAGGCCTTTGGAGCCGGGAACAGCAGGTCAAGCAGTTTGGTATGGGCCAAGTCTAAGCCCAATGTCAAGTCTGTATAAAACTCCAGTGCCTGAGACCAACCTACTAGGAAACACGCCCACCATTCCATTCAGCTCCTTGTCGCCAGCAGGTAAACGCATCTCTATTGCTGACAATGAATGCCCCGTAGCAGCATGATGGACATAACGAGGAGGGTGGTGACATAGGGCGAGTAGTGGGAGCCTTCAAGTGCAAAGTGAGCCTGGCCACCGCGGAGTGGTTGTGGGAATAGTGCAGTCTGGGCCCAGGATCCATCACGGCGCCCCCACACGTTGTTACAGGTCCTGGTGACTTCTTCCATTCTAACCTGCACCACCTGGTGGCCATGTTACACCCAATCTCCAATAAATGGGAAGATAGCTGCTTATACGCTAATCTCACTCACTGTTTTCTAAAAAGTATGAAGGTAGCTCATTTTCACAAAGTTCATAGGAAATGGACTCAAAAGATAAGTTTGTTTTGGTGCAAAAGCCTTGGAAATCCATGCAGTTTGTTCAAACTATGTGTCTTCCATGAATTCTCTAAAGATTCCTCTTGGACATCTTTATTTCTTTTCATAGGTAGCCCAAACACTGCCATTTGTGATGAAAGATTTTCTTTCCATCCCCATATCATTATCCCATGAAGTACAAGTTCATTGATAGTAGCTACTGACAGTCTAGTAGAAAGAACTGAATATCCAGCGTCAGTGTCAGAGAATCCCAACACTACCTTAACTGCTGATTGGCATCTGTCAACCATATCCATACAGTGTCCTGGAAATCTTGAAATTAGCAGTAGAGGAAGTTTTGAGAACTACAGAACTTTGTTACATTCTATTTCAAAAGGCAGAGTTCTTCCAAAGCTTCTTATGAAAACGTTCTGGATTTTTTCTATGGGTTTTGTTAAAAGATGCATGGAATCGGGCATCAGGTGAGATCTACATTACACACAATCAAATAAGTGAAATGTCCTTTTTTAAAAAAAAAATTTTTATATTTTTGGAAAGGCAGAGTTAGAGAGAGACAGAGAGCTCTTCTATCTGCTGGTTCACTTCCCCAGTTGTTGCAACGGCCAGGATTGGGACAGGCCAAACCAGGAGCCAGGAACTCCTTTGGGGTCTGCCAGTTGAGTGGCAGGGTCCCAATACCGGCGCCATCTCCTGCTGCTTTCCCAGGTACATAGCAGGGAGCTGGTGTGGAAGTGAAGCAGCCAGGATTCGAACTAGTGCTTGTATGAGATGGCAGTGGTGCAAGTGGTGGCTTAACCCCCTGCACCACAATGCTGACCCATGAAATACCCTTCTATTTCATTTGTTTTTCAATAAAACTTTCCATTAGTGCTACTATATCATTTTATTTATTTTTTAAAAGTTTTTTGAAAAAAGATCTGTCGCCCCCCCTCTTCGTGGAGGAACGACACAGGACCCTGCGCTGTTCTTTTGTCTGCTCGGCCCTTCCCGGGTTTGCTGCTGGTTCTTCCCGGGTTGGCTACCGTCCCTTCCACCTCCGTGGAAGGGCGGTTCCCCCTGCCACTTTCCCCACTTCCGCGGGGGAGCGGCACACCGCCGGCCGGCTCTCTCGGGGGCTGCTCAGGTGTTCCTTCAGATATTCCTGGTGCATGTTCTCTCTCTCCTCCTTTATAGTCCTCTTCCGCCAATCCTAACTCGGCTGCCCACACGCCGAGTACGCTGCTCTCCTCCAATCAGGAGCAGGTCCTACAGTTTATTGGTTGAACTGGAGGCAGCTGTGTAGAAGCTGTTTCTCCCTTCTCAGCGCCATATTGTGGGAGAGCAGATGCATAGAATAAGTCTTAATTCCAGTAACTTAGTCTAGTCTGGGTTGCTCCCCACAGAGATCTATTTTATTTATTTGAAAGGCAGAGTTACAGAGAGAACGGGAGAGACAGTGAGATCTCCCATCTGCTGGTTCACTCCCCCAAATGGCCGTGAAGCCAGGACAGGAACTGGTGCTCATATGGGATGCCAGTGCTGCAGGTAGCAGCTTAACTGGCTGTGCCACAACGCTGGCCCCTTAAAAAGATTTCAAAAGGTAGTTAGGGGCCAGGGCTGTGGCACAGTGGGTTAAAGCCCAGGTGCAGCGCCGGCATCCCATATGGGTGCCAGTTTGAGTCCTGGCTGCTCCACTTCCAATCCAGCTCTCTGCTGTGGCCTGGGAAAGCAGTGGAAGATGGCCTGAGTCTTTGGGCACCTGCACCCACATGGGAGACCCCAGCAGAAGCTCCTGGCTCTGGATCAGCTCAATTGCTCTGGCAATTGTGGTCATTTGGGGAGTGAACCAGTGAATGGAAGACCTCTCTCTCTGGCTCTACCTCTCTCTGTAACTCTGTCAAATAAATAAAATAAATCTTTAAACAGAATGAATCTGACAGTTAGAGCTCCCATCTGCTGGTTCACTCCCCAAATACCCACAACAACTAAGACTTAGAGTGGAGCCAGGAGCCAGAACTCCATCCAGGTGTCCCAGTTGCTACTGCCTGCCAGGGTCTGCACCAGCAGGAAGCTGCAGCAGGAGCCAGACCTGGAGTCAGGGGTTGAACCTGGGTGTGAGTGTCCTAACTACCAGGCCAAATGCCCACCCCGCAACTTCTAAGCCTTGTCCCACTTTGTGCCAGGCAGTGGTCTAGGGCCTGGAAAGATACAGCAGTGGGAGAGAGCCTGAATCCCTTCCCTCGTGGAGTTTAAATCCTGGTGGGTAAAAGGCAGGTCATCAGCCAATATTTAACTTTCATTTTGCCCTGAACTCTGTCCGAGTAACCCAGTCACACTAGTTTGGTGCCAGAAGTCTGTTTCCACTCCTCCTCCCGCAGCTGCTCTGCCAGTCGGATATCCAGGGGTCCAGCCCTCAGTGAATCTGAGATGCTCCCAGTGCAGGAAGAGAGTGAGTCTGTAAGAATAACGGAATGATCTGCGTTCCTGCCCCGAAAGATGACCCTGCAAAGCCCCGAGTTAATAAATGAACAAGTTGAGTTTCTCTTTGCAAATGTAACGGGATTCTTTTATTTGCTTTTGTTAGTCCTGACCCTACATTGATTAGAAATAATTTTCTTTGCATTGTAAGGAGGCTATGTCTGAATCAGGGAGCCCAGAAAGAAAAGAAACACTTCATCATTTCAGTGAAACAGGGCCCGAGTCCCTTCCTTTTACTAAGTGTGCTGCCTTCAGTAAGAATTGAAGAGGAGAGCTCACTGAACTCTGAGGGTAGAGACCTGTTGTCCGTGCAGCCCTCTGAGGGTGGAGACCTGTTGTCCGTGCAGCCCTCTGTTGGTGGAGACCTGTTGTCCGTGCAGCCCTCTGAGGGTGGAGACCTGTTGTCCGTGCAGCCCTCTGTTGGTGGGAGACCTGTTGTCCGTGCAGCCCTGTTGGTGGGAGACCTGTTGTCCGTGCAGCCCTCTGAGGGTGGAGACCTGTTGTCCGTGCAGCCCTCTGTTGGTGGGAGACCTGTTGTCCGTGCAGCCCTGTTGGTGGGAGACCTGTTGTCCGTGCAGCCCTCTGTTGGTGGAGACCTGTTGTCCGTGCAGCCCTCTGAGGGTGGGAGACCTGTTGCCCGTGCAGCCCTCTGAGGGTGGGAGACCTGTTGTCCGTGCAGCCCTCTGAGGGTGGGAGACCTGTTGTCCGTGCAGCCCTCTGTTGGTGGAGGCCTGTTGTCCGTGCAGCCCTCTGAGGGTGGAGACCTGTTGTCCGTGCAGCCCTCTGAGGGTGGAGACCTGTTGTCCGTGCAGCCCTCTGAGGGTGGAGACCTGTTGTCCGTGCAGCCCTCTGTTGGTGGAGACCTGTTGTCCGTGCAGCCCTCTGTTGGTGGAGACCTGTTGTCCGTGCAGCCCTCTGTTGGTGGGCCCTTGGACTGTCTCCATCTCCAGGCTGCTGTGAAGGGTGCTGTTGTGAGCATGGGTGTAAAGATACTTCTTCACAATCCCACTTTCAGAAATGGAATTGCGGGATCACACGGGAGTTTTTAAGTTTCTGATGAACCTCTGCACTCTGTGCACAAGGGTTTTGTTCTCTGCATATTCTTGTTAACACTTGGTATTTTCTGTTTTTTTCTTTTCCTTTTTTATAAGTACCATCCTCGTGGCTGTTAGGTGGGTTGCATTTTAAGAAAAATTTAAAGACAGGCATAGGTGATGAAGTTCAACGTCTGTGAAGGGACGCCCTGTTGTAACTCTTGCTTGTGATTTAAATGTCCCTCGCCTATGTGTTTCTCTCTGTTCAGAAGAGTCTATGAAATGCAGCATATACAACAGCAGTGGCATTCAGCTTGGAGCCTGTAACTACATGGAGATCGGCGGGATAAGCTCACCACCACTAGAATGCTTGTGCACAAACTTACAGGAGCCAGCTTCTAAGTACCAAGCCATCTTTGGTAAGGGTCCCTTACGCGTCCACCAACTGTGAGCTCTCTCACCTGTTCAGAGGGATGTAGTGGAATCTGAAAACTGCCCCATGACTCTCCTGAAAGCTACCCCGTTTTCTCTGTAAAAGCCACAGATTCACTCCTTTGTCATGTATTTATCTGTAATATGGGAAGAATCACAGTATCTGATTCATGGCTTTGTTGTAAAAATGAAATGAGTTGATGTGTGAAAGAGCTTAGAGCTCCTAGCACGCAGTTCTGTAGAAGTGTTAGACTTTCATCATCATCAAAGAAGGTTCTACACGAGATAAACACTGCTTTCACTAGCACTTCTGTAATAAAACCAGAGGGCTGTCTTCTGTAGGGCTCTGCCATGCAGACCCATAGCATTAGTCCTGAAACAGCCTGGGGAAAGCAGTCGTGAGTCTAGCATAATTTAGAACACAGGTTTTTGATTGACTCTGGGATTGGCGGATTCTGTCCGTAAACAGCCGGATAGTAAGTAGACTAGGTTTTGTCCCTGAGGTCTCTTTTGGAACTACTCAGCTCTGTTGTGCAATGCAGAAGCTTCCACACACTGCTTCGTGTGCACATGAGTGAGCAGGCCTAAGTGCCAATAAAACTTTATTTACCGAAAAACAGACAGGAGGTGAGACTGGACCCACAGGTGATAGTTTACCAACCCTTGCTCAGAGCCATTTAAAGGACAGCTTTTAACATACCTAGAATAGAGGTTCTTAACCTTTGAGTAGCCAAGGGTGTCTGAGAATCTGATGAAACCCAGAATCCCTCTCCTAAAAGATATTGACAAACGTTATCTCGGTCCATGGACTACTGACATCTAGTGGTAGCGATGGGAGCTGCATTATGGTGGGCAAGGAAGAATGGGAGTTGAGTGGGGGAAATGAGATGTCTTTCTGTTTAGCTTTTCGAGTTTGGATGAAAGTCAGGAATGTAAGTGTTTTTGTTTCCTCTTGTTAATTATTTTATGCAGGGTTAAGGGGAAGAATCCAGTAAGCACAGAGAAGCGGGAACAGCAGTTGGAAGGGGAGGCTAAGGATGGATCTCAAATAGACATGGAAGCATTTAGACTCCTTATCCCTTGAAAGACAAGGGAAGGCACGGAACAAGACTCACGCTTGTTGGTTCACATCGGATGGTCAGGTTCATTCTTGATGGCCTCAGTTTCCACGACTGGATAGGAGGAAACTGTGGGGTGAAGTGTGGCAGGGGAGGGCACAGGGTCAAAAGGTTAGTGGCCTTGTCTCTGGCCAGGTGTAAATGGGAAATGTGCAAAAGGAACAAAGGTGGTGCTTTTCTCCTTTACATCCAAGAGGTTCTGCTATGAACAGGGCTGCTGACTTGGACTGTAGGGAGCACCCAGCCCAGTGAGCATGTGGTGGTTTTGACCACAAAGCCATCAGCGGTAGTTCAGGGATACACCTGCTAAGAGGAAGTGAGCGCCCTATCCCAGTTCACTGCAGGACTCCCAGGCCGGCAGCACGCCGGTTTCCTCCAGTGAGTCACCACATCATTGAGTTCTCTTTTTCACCCTTTCCGACAACTCTGATTAAGGAATCCCCTTCTTCGCCTCCCAGGTTTCTCTAGCTGTTTGGGAGCCAGAATGCACGAAAGGGGTGTAGCTTGATGCTGTCTTCTCTCTTCCATTCGGCAGATGACACCACGAGTCTGACGGACAAACACCTGAGCCCCGTCAGGGACAACCTGGGAAAACACTGGAAAAACTGTGCCCGGAAGCTGGGCCTCACCGAATCGCAGATCGACGAGATTGACCATGACTATGAGCGAGACGGACTGAAAGAGAAGGTTTACCAGATGCTCCAGAAGTGGCTGATGCGGGAAGGCACCAAGGGGGCCACCGTGGGGAAGCTGGCCCGTGCGCTGCACCAGTGTTCCAGACAGGATCTCCTCACCTGTCTGATACAGCTCAGCCAGAAGTAGCCCTGGGGCCGGGCGGGAGGTCCTGGCAGCGGGAGGCAGACGCCTCACTCAGCGAGGAGCCCATTGCTAAGAGCTGCCCAGCGCGTCCAGAATTCTGTTCGCACTGGGACGGGTTCCGTGTCGACATGAAAAGCATTTCCCGCACTTTCGGAGCTGCAGGATGGGAAGAGAAATCCTGGCAAGCGGATTCCGGAAAGCAAGAAGACCTCTTCATGGCCCAGAACCAGTCAGAAGCAGCTCCTGGTTGGCTTTTGAAAGGGAGAGAGAGATACTTGAGGGAGATCGCTTTCCATTATGCTAATCATTCTGTTTCCTGGAGTTTTGTTTGAGAAAGGAAAAAAAAAAATCAGAGCTCCCTTGTCCACACAGGCTTCTGTTAAAACCCAAGAACTGTGGGGTTCTACGTTCTGCTCAATAGGCACTTCTGAATCACGGCCACAGTTCATCTGCAGACGGCAGAGTCTGTTAACTCCACCGTCGAGTACTCTGTCGGTCACCGCAGGCTTTATGAATTGCACGCAGTCTCCTCTCCATTATACGCACTTGCACGTTAGCTGACTTTATACTCAGTTCATGGGTAAATGAACCGAGGGTGTCCTGTGGAATGCTGCGGGGCGGGGGAAGTCGGGTGGGGCGGGGAAATCATCAGGTGTTCCAAGAAACTGCTAACTGTGACGACTGCAGAAAGCCTTCGTTTTTTCAGTTCTTCCCTGGTGCCCTGGTCTTTCTGCACAGCCCGGGTCCCTTGAGGAGAGAGTGGGTATATGAGGAGCAGTGATCTCTGCCCCCAGGCAGGACTGGGGCTTGGGGACTGGTCCCTGGGGAGCCGCCGCCTCGGTTTGCCACAGTGTACTGTCGAGGTGCTTTCTCTGTGTGCTAAGAAGTAGACAAGGGACAGTGGCAGAGGCTGCTCACTGTGCCCTGGCACTCGGCCTTTCCGAGCCCACTGGAAACCGGGAGGCAACGCAGGAGCCACAGACGGAAGGTGCCCAGGGCCCCCTGGACAGCGGGAATGCCATTGACCTCGCTCTCCCGGGAAGGGGGGGAAGGGAACAGGGGTGGCCATTCCAGCTGTCAGAACGGATGCCGGGGTTCTGGGTTGATAACGTGTTGGTTCTGATTCTGAATCCCCTCCAGCTCCAGCAGACACAGCCGGCCAGCCACACCCCCACCCCCAGAAGGAGGCTGCAAAGCAAGGTTTCTCCCTCAACACCCCTGGCATCTTGATCAGGATAGCTCTTTGCCGTGGGCTGTCCCGTGGCTTGCGGATGCTTGGCAGCACCCTCGGCTTCCACCCACCAGGTGCCCTGAGTGCCGGTTTTCCCCGCCTCCTCCCCTGAGGTGTGACACCCGTCTCCAGATGTGGCTCCGTGTTCCTCGGAAGGGCACAGCCGCCTCCGTGGAGAACAGAGCTCAGTCTCCTGTCCACACACAGATCCGGGCTCACCACCCAGCTGCCACTCAGCGTTAGGCCTGCAGAGGGCAAAGAAAGTGCCCTGACTTCCGCAGCAAGGCCTGGGTGTTTCCCTTTAAAAACGAATTCCCTGTGCCTTCATTCTGATGGTGTTCTCAAGTCTCCACATTCAGAGATCAGTGTTAAGAGAGAGAAATAAGAGAGATTTTAATGGACCTTCTAGAATAAAATGTTATACCTCTGAAGTCGTACACTGACATACGTGTGACAGTTTGGAAGTCCCCACTGTTGGTTTACTGCTCAGGCCGGCGTTCCTGTGCCCACTCCTGCTGTCTAGTCTGAGTAGCACTTGGTCCCTAAGTGCCTGCAGACATTTAAAGCTTAAGTCAGGATAATGTCACTGCGAGGTGGAGGCCTCTTCCAGCGATGTTTGAAGGCAGGCCTGGAGGGCGGGCCTGAGTCACTAAGGCTGTGCCCTTGGCAGCTCCTTCCTCAGAGACGTTTGGTTACACAGCCTGGGTTGGTCCCAGACGCCCTCTCTCTGCATCTTGGCGCACCATGTGATCGGCACACTCTCAGCTCCTGCCACTGGTCAGCCCCAACAGAGGCAGAAATAGGGGAGCCACCTGACCCTGGACGTGAACCTCCAAAACCGGGAGCTGAACGTACTTTGTAAAGTTAGCTGCTCAGGTGTTTCACTGTAGCCACGAAAACCTAAGCAGGCACTGCCCTTCACCCCGCTGATGGCGCCCAGGGGAAGCTTCCAGACAATGAACAGGCCGACAACACGGCTGTCCTTCACGGGCTCCAGGAGATCCTCACACGCGAGGTTATCCATGGTGAACGAGAGCCTGCTTGGCAGCTTTCCCGCTTGCTGCTGTGGGCATAGTCTTTGCTCTGAGTCTCGCATCCACGTCAAGGGCTTCAGGAAGAAAAGTGGTTCTTCCTTAGCGTTGATGTAATATCTATTTACAGAGAAAGTTTCTCTTACTGTTTACATTTTCACGGTTTTAGAAGCAGGGGATTATCATGGAATCAGTGAAGGGCTGGCCTTCTGCAGTGAGCTCCACAGTAGGCAGTAACCCAAGGTCAGCATTCTGGAGTTCTGAATTCAGATTCCCCCGGCTGCTCTTCGGCCGTGTGGCCTAGGGCCTGTTTCCTCAGGTGGTGGTGGCAGCAGCACACGAGGTCGATGGGAAGACGAAGGGGGTGCATCCTTGGATGCTGGCACAAGAATGGCAGTACACTGTTGTGCCACAGTGTGCGTGAAGGAAGTCCTCAAGTACGTGCTTAGTAAACCGTGAGACCAACAACTTGGAAGCTCAGTGCTGCCATCTTTGCTTGACAGTAGGATGGCTGGGTTTGAGATTGTGCACTTGTTGGGGCCAGCACTGTGGCGCAGCAGGTTACCACGCCGGCATCCCATATGGGCACTGGTTAGAGACTCGGCTGCTCCACTTCCTGTCCAGCTCTCTGCTGTGGCCTGGGAAAGCAGTAGAAGATGGCCCAAGTCCTTGGGCCCCTGCACCTGCGTGGGAGACCCAGAAGAAGCTCCTGGCTCCTAATCGGCGCAGCTCTGGCCGTTGCAGCCAGCTGGGGAGTGAACCAGCAGATGGAAGACCTCTCTCTGTCTGCCTCTCCTCTCTCTCTGTAACTCTTTCAAGTAAAATAAATCTTTAAAAAAAATAAAAAACTGTACACTTGTTTAAAGTTTATTTATTGGAAAGGCAGAGCGACAGGGACAGAGCGATCTTTCTGCTGGTTCACTCCCCGGATGCCGCCACTGCCAGGGCTGGGCCACAATGAAGCCAAAGCCAGGAACTCCATCCTGATGGCCCACATGAATGGCGGGGGTCCAAGCAATTGGGCCATCTGCTGCTGCCTTCCCAGGCACAGTAGCAGGGAGCTGGGCTAGACTCGTAGTAGCTTGAACTGCTGCTCCAGTGTGGGAATTGAGAGTCCCAAGCTGTGGCTTAACTTGCTGCACACAACACCTGCCCCCAGACAACTACTATTTTTTTTTTTTTAATCTTCATCGCAGAAGAATTCCCAGTCAACATTTCAGGAAAAAATAAGGAATACTGACCCTGCTAAAGATTGCAGGAGGTCAAATGATATCCATGTGAACTCAGATATTGTGTATTGCTTTGCAGGAACTGATGGGGGTAGACTTAAGTCGAAAGTAGACTACAAGCATTTTTTGCATATCCTGTAGTTAGACTAACCTTGCGTTTGCTGCCCGAGAAGCTGCAGTTGGCCAGTGAGGACGCTGCAGGCGCTGGAACGGTCCACAGCTGTAACACTTGGAAGTACTGTTCCTATGGAGCTGTCCCACGAGGAGGCTCTGGAGGAAAAACAGCACGCGGGAAAGCCGAAGCTGGAGGAATCCAAGCCAAAGCTGCAGCCGTGGCCACAAGTCTGCCACCGTGTCCGGTTAAGGCAGGCAGAATGGCAGCCAGTTAAAGGGGCAGCTTTTTCCCCCACTTAACTTTGAGAGCTTGTTTGGAGGTTCTGGCAGGGGTGCGCAGCTACCTTGACCCTTGACCAAGACCGGTCCTCCTCTAGCGGGGAAGGGGAAGGTCGCAGCTTCGGGAGGGACGCACGTGGAGCCGTGAGGGAGGAAGGGGACACCCGCCTAGCCAGCCAGGTCAGCCGAATCAACCCTGGCGACCAATCGGGTGACAGATGTCGCGGCCAGATGGCCCTCACATCCGTCCACTTAACTTGGAGTTGCAGACGTTTAAGTGACTTCCACCTTCTCAACCATTTTTAACTGCACGGTCCAGTGGCATCAACTACGATCTCGGAGTTGCACAACCATCACCGCCATCCACCCACCAACTCTCTATTTTGCAAATCTAGAAGTCTGCATCCAGCAAACTGCCACCCTCCACCCCCTCACCCCGCGAGTGTGCACAGCCCATCCTGTTCTGTCCGTGGGGTCGCAGTATCGGTCCCCTCACCCCGCGAGTGTGCACGCCCCATCCCGTTCTCCTGTCCGTGGGGTCATCGGTCCCCTCACCCCGCGAGTGTGCAGAGCCCATCCTGTTCTCCTGTCCGTGGGGTCATCGGTCCCCTCACCCCGAGTGTGCATACCCCATCCTGTTCTCCTGTCCGTGGGGTCGCAGTATCGGTCCCCTCACCCCGAGTGTGCACAGCCCGTCCTGTTCTGTCCGTGGGGTCGCAGTATCGGTCCCCTCACCCCGAGTGTGTACACCCCTTCCTGTTCTCCTGTCCGTGGGGTCGCAGTATCGGTCCCCTCACCCCGCGAGTGTGCACACCCCATTCTGCTCTCCCGTACCTGGGCCGCAGTATCGGTCCCCTCACCCCGAGTGTGCACGCCCCATCCTGTTCTCCTGTCCGTGGGGTCGCAGTATCGGTCCCCTCACCCCGAGTGTGCACACCCCATCCTGTTCTCCTGTCCGTGGGGTCGCAGTATCGGTCCCCTCACCCCGAGTGTGCACGCCCCATTCTGCTCTCCCGTACCTGGGCCGCAGTACGGGGCCTTCGTGAACGGCTCCCTCACTGCAAGGCCCTAAGGGCCGTCCCGCGGCAGGTGCGTCACAGCCCCCGCCATCGCGCGCACCTGCCCCGCTCCGCGCCCTTCGCTTACGTCAGCGTTATGACCGGTACAGCGCTCTCAGGCCCCTGCTCACTCCCTCGGGTGTACCCCAGACGGGGAACCGCTGCCTCCCACAGCAATTCCACGCGTAACGTTAACGTCATCTCCTGGCTCCCACAGCGGCCGTGCCGACACTGCTTCCGTTTAAAAAACACCTGCAGCCACCCTGATGGAGAGAAGGGAACGCAGCCCCCACCCCCAGCGCCTCACGCCCTAGCCGGCCGCAGGGCCGCGGTCTCGCCTCCCCAGCCCGCTGTGCACGCCGCCACGGCCACGGCACCACGGCGACGGACAGGGTCGAGGAGCCCGTCTAGACAGGGGTTCGCGAGGGTTCCAAGGCAGGCAGGGCTGGGAGAGGCGTGGCGGGCTACGCGCGTGGCGGCTCGCCGCACCTGAGGGAGGACAGCCTTGGCGTCCGGGCGGGCTGTGGGCGTGGCTGTGGCGTCCGGGGGCGTGGCGTTAGGGGGCGTGGCAGGGCGCGGCGGCTCGCCGCACCTGAGGGAGGACAGCTGTGGCGCTCGGGCGGGCTGTGGGCGTGGCTGGGCGTCGAGGCCCGAGGAGCCAGAAGCGCGTCGTGGCGTCAGGGGGCGTGGCGGAGCGGAGGAGGCTGGGGCGAGGGCGGGCTAGGGCCCTGCGCATGCGCACTGTCGGCCGTGGCGCGACTTGCGACCATGGCAGTGGCGCTGGGCTCGCGAAGCGCCTTGCGGCTGCGGCTGCTTCTGTCACAGCTGAAGCCTGGGATCCGTGTTTCCCGGGCCGGGCCCGCAGCCGCGTTCGGGTAATGGCGCGCGCCTCTCATCCGGAATCCCCTCGTGCGCGCGCTCGCGGGGTCGGGGGGGCGGCTGGAGCGGCGCGCGGGCCTCAGGTGGGCTGGGCGGCGGGGGGCGGTCCCTGTACTTGGGGTCGCAGTACGGGCCTTTCGTCAATGGCTGGCAGTCCCCGGAGGACGCCTTCTCTCCCGTCTGAGATCCGAGCCGGCTGGAGACCTGGGCGCCCCGTGCGCCCTCACCTCCAGTTCCCCGGGCGCCCCGCGCGCTCTCTCACCTCCGAGTGTCCCGGGCGCCCCGTGCGCTCTCACCTCCGAGTTTCCCGGGCGCCCCGTGCGCTCTCTCACCTCCAGTTCCCCGGGCGCCCCGTGCGCCCTCACCTCCGAGTTCCCCGGGCGCCCCGTGCGCCCTCACCTCCGAGTGCCCCGGGCGCCCCGTGCGCCCTCACCTCCGAGTTCCCCGGGCTCCCCGTGCGCTCTCACCTCCGAGTGCCCCGGGCTCCCCGTGCGCTCTCACCTCTCAGTTCCCCGGGCTCCCCGTGCGCTCTCACCTCCGAGTTCCCAGTGCGCCCCGTGCGCCCTCACCTCCGAGTTCCCCGGGCGCCCCGTGCGCTCTCACCTCCGAGTGCCCCAGGCGCCCCGCGCGCGCTCTCACCTCCGAGTTCCCTGGATTCCCCGTGCGCTCTCACCTCCGAGTTCCCTGGATTCCCCGTGTGCCCTCACCTCCGAGTGCTCCGGGCGCCCCGTGCGCTCTCACCTCCGAGTTCCCTGGATTCCCCGTGCGCCCCACGCGCGCTCTCACCTCCGAGTTCCCTGGATTCCCCGTGCGCTCTCACCTCCGAGTTCCCCGTGCGCCCGTGCTCTCTCACTCGAGCCCTGGCCGCCCCCGCGCGCGCTCTCACCTCCGAGACCCCCTGGGGCGCCCCACGCTCTCTCACCTCCGAGTTCCCGGTGCGCCCCGTGCGCCTCACCTCCGAGTTCCCTGAGATTCCCCGTGCGCCCCGTGCACCCTCACCTCCGAGTTCCCTGGATTCCCCGTGCGCCCTCACCTCCGAGTTCCCAGTGCGCCCCGTGCGCCCTCACCTCCGAGTTCCCTGGGCACCCCGCGCGCTCTCTCACCTCCGAGTTCCCTGGGCACCCCGCGCGCTCTCTCACCTCCGAGTGCCCTGGCCGTCTGGCTGAGCCAAAACCGAGTCCGGCCGCCGTTGCTGTGCGCTCCGCTTCCCCGGGGGTCCGCAGGAAGTTCGCGGAACACGCGCCTTGTGAGCGGACTGCGTGGATTCCAGCGTTTTGCACCACAGCAGACTTCTTAATTCAGTTTCCCGCAAGCTTGTTGGAGTACTCAGGCGAACCAGGACTAGGAGAGAAGCTCGGAACGGCGTTTAGGCGCCGTATGGAGAGCGTCGCTTTCTCCGACTTGGAAACTTTAACTTGAAAACTTGCTTTGGAAGAAAGGAAGGCAGATCTGATGCGGTTTTTAAGTTTTTCTGTTGTGGTTGATAGCTCGAGCTTTGCATTTGATGTGTTTTATTGCTGCTTTAGAATTATTTGAAGATTTTCAGGACTTTTGATGCAGATAGTGGGTGCCACTGTAAAGATCAACCGTGAAATTGGCATTCTGGCCAGCTCCTGCCTCCGGAAGCGTTGAGATTAGTGTGATTGTACCAGTATCCTGGTTTCCGTGGGTGGTTCAGTGGTTGAGAGAAGGTCCCGTACATCTAGCTGCACTGTGTTCTTTCAAAAATGTCCCTGAAAATCGGGTTTCTCTGGGGTTTGGACTGCTGTTTCATAGACACAGTTGCAAGTTGATAGAACAGGCCGGGGAAGAAGGCAGTGGCATTGGTTAATCCTGTGAACAGGCTGCAGCCCAAAGCAAGTAGCCAGAAGCACTCCTGTAAACTGCTTCAGGGTCTGGCGCTGTGGCAAAACCGGAAAAGCCGGCGGCTGCATCGCTGGCGTCCCATATGGGCACCGGCTTGATTCCCAGCTGCTCCACTTCCAATCCAGCACCTTGCTAATGGGCCTCTGCACCCACATGGGAGACCTGGAAGAAGCTCCTGGCTTCCCTCTGGCCCAGCCCCAGCTGTGTGGCCATTTGGAAGTGAACCAGTGGATGAAAAATCTCTCTCTCCTTCTCTGTAACTCTGGCTTTCTCAAGTAAAATCAATAAATCTTTAAAAAAAAATGGTACTGCATCCTCCATGGTCAAAATTACTAGATTTTTTTAAAGGGCTGGAGAGCTGCTCCAAGACTCACCAAGATAAATGCTGAATTAAAAAAAAAAAAAAACCTGCTTCAGCCCATGCCCAACACGCAGCTGAGTTGTGTGGCCAGATGTGTCGTTTGGAACTTTGACCCTCATTTCACAGTCTCTAAGGTGATCCGTTCCTGAGCCAGGTTCTACTTGAAGTTGAGTGATGCGGACAGTTGCAGTATTAATAATTGACAGAACCGGGTATTTCCCCAAGTCACCCTTGGGATGCCCGGCCCCAGTGGCCCCCGTGCCTGAGCTTTGGTGGGGGCTGTGGCTGTGGGGTGGGAGAGAAAGGCTGGCCTTTGGAACTGATGGCCCTGTTACTGTTGCTCACTGTGTGAATGGGCAGGTTCCCTAACCTCCCTGAGGCTCCTGCCTTGCAGAGCTTCTGTGAGGATTTGAAACAATGTAGAAAGCCTGAGGCAGAAATACCCAGTGATTAGCAGGTGCGACCAGTTACAGTGCAAATAGTCAATATCTGAATAATGCCAGATACAAAGTAAGTAAAAAGTCATCAAGGTTCTTGTAAATTCAAGCTTCAAGGTAGCTAATATATTGTAACTACTGAGTACTTTGGACGAAATACACAGAAAAAACATGCTGAACATACCCTCTTTTATTTATTTCAAAGGTAGAATTACAGAGAGGAGGAGACAGATTTTCCATCTGCTGGTTTACCCTCCAAATGGCTGCACTGGCCAGGGCTGGGCCAGGCTGAAGCCAGGACCCTGGAGCTTCTTCCAGATCTCCCACATGGGTACAGAGCCCCAAATACATGGGCCATCTTCTGCTGCTTTCCCAGGCGTATTAGCAGGGAGCTGGATCAGAAGTGGAGCAACCAGGTTTGGAACCAGTGCCCATACAGGATACCCGTGTTGTGGGCAGAGGCTTAGCCTACTACACCACAGCGCTGGCCCCTGGACAGGCACTCCTGGGACTTTGAAAATGTGGGTGTTTCTGAGTAAGTGGCTCCGCTAGCCTTGTCGCCCTCCGCAGTCAGCTCCCTTTCTGAGGGGGCGGCTCAGGGTCTTCAATACCACTGTGCTGTTCTTACCTCCTCCGCTTCTGCGACATTGCCTCTCAGCCTCCCGGAAAGGGGGGTGGAGGTCAAATCCGAGACAGGAGAGGGGGTGTGGGGGGCTGGTGCGGTAGGTTAATCCTCCGCTTGCAGCGCCTGCATTCCATGTGGGCATTGGTTCTAGTCCTGGCTGCTCCACTTCACATCCAGCTCTCTGCTGTGGCCTGGGAAAGCAGTAGAAAATGGCCCAAGTCCTTGGGCTCCTGCACCCACGTGGGAGACCTGGAAGAAACTCCTGGCTTCAGAATGGCCTAGCTCCGGCTTTTGCGGCCCTGCTCAAACCTGAGTTTGAGCCCCACTGACACAGGGAGAGGCAGGAAATACCCTGGTAAAAGGGGGCCATGTGAGCAGACGTGGAACTGCTGGCGCAGGAGTGTGGAGCTGGTTCCTTGTGCCCTAGGTCTCTGTCCCCCAGCTTTTCCTGTAAAACCCTGCACACTGCTGGTGAGTGCTGGTAGCAGGCGATCTGTTTCTCTTTCCTTCTAGGTTCCGAGTTGCAGGTGAGCCTGCCTGTAGTGCCCAGCACAAAGCATTCATTCAGGAGTTATGTGAATAGATGAGGAGTGCAGCAGAGATTTGGTACTGTAGAAAGACGACCCCACAGCCGTGCCTCCAGAGCTAATGAGCTGGACTCTGCCCTGGCCTGTGTGGTTGATGTCTCCACAGGTGATTCTAATAAACACACCTGCTGCAGGGCACCTGGGTCAGAGACGGGATGTGGGGGCGGGGAGAAAGGGCTGAGAGAGAAACAGGCTGCGTTCACTTTGTCCTTTAAATCTCCTGAAGTTTTCTTTTTCCTTGGAGTTGGGAGGAGTTGGTTTCTTGAAAGTACTTGGAGGCATAAGCACATCAAGGCCACTGAAGCACTGAGTTTTTTTTCTTTGTTTTTGCCAGTGTGCACTGAACTGGTAACACCACGCCTGGCCAGGCTCTCGGGGGCTCTCCATAAACTGGAGCAGAAGTACTTCAGAAGAGCTTGTGTGCTGTGGAAACAAGCAGCGCTCAGGAGCTCTGTTCTCTTTAAAGAGTGAACGTTCTCCTGTGTTTGAAATCGGTTTGCTGCTGTTCATAGACAGCCCTCCCGCCTCTTCCCCCACCGGGAGAATCGGGCACGGGCCTCGCAGCCTCCGTCCGCGCCGAGGGAAGGGCTGATGGGATAACGGCAGCTACCTGTGGTGCGATGGGCGTCTGGGATGTTGACGACAGAGCGCCGGGGACCTGGTCTTCCCCTTGGATCTTGGTCTTTCCCTGCACAGCCCTGCGACGGTCAGCCCGCCACCAGGGCTTCCCAGTCCCAAGGCCGCGCGCTGGCTCGTTGCCGCCTGTGTCGGGCCTTCCGTCGTGCGAGTGCTTCCAGAAGTGCCTTCCCCGTTACATTCCTTTTTCAGAATTTTACCACCTTTGGAGGTTCATCTCCAACCTCTACTCAACCCTGATGTGATCTCTGTCTTCCAAGTGAACCCTCCAGGTTGTCTGCCTTTGAACTCTGGGTCACTTGGTTTTGTTTCTGTGTTCCGTTTAGACTGCCAGAAGGATATGGGACGGCAGTAGTTACAATTGCATGGAAAGGAACCGGGCACAGACACAGCCCAGGGCAGAGGGCAGTGGCAGGGGTTTGCAGGAGACTTAGGGATGGCCATGAACGTGATCCAGGGCTGGAGGCAGCCACGCCCGTTCTTACAAAAGGATGGGCTTTGGGCATTGAGAAGGGTGAGGGAGGGAGCTTCTCATGGTAGGCGGGGCCTTCAGAAAGTTCATGGAAAATGGAGATTATGCATGAACTTGAGAAAATTTTGCACCAAAATAAACTTGTCATTTACTTGCATTTTCCCACCAGTTTGTGGACGTGCCCTCAACAGGGCCCTCAGCGCTGGAGCAGTAAAGGGGATGGGGACCTTCCGCGTCACTGCCGCGAGCCATGGCAATGCCGGCCGTTCAGGTGCCCCTCTCTGCTTTCCCTCCCTGAGGGGTTGCACAGTGAACCGTCCTGAGCCTTTGCTCCTGGGCCCAGTGTGGCAAAGCAGGTGCGCCGGTGAACCTGTGTCAGTGGAGCGCGCTCGTTGGCTTCTTGACCCTAAGATAGTAAAGTCACTGTCACAGGAAACAGGTGTTCATCATTAGCATTGGCAGCATTGCGGTGTCAGCGGCTTTCGTAGTGCCCCTGCGCGGTGTTTCTGTACAGGATGGCTTGTAGGCATGGCCTGTAGGTATGACGCCCGGTGCTGTCTTGGTTTCTCAGAGACGGTGTAGTGAGTTTAGGTGTACCCCCATCACCACCCCTCTGTTTCTGCATCCTTCCCTGCTTGAAGTTGGTGAGTAAGATGAAACCTAGAGGAAACAGAACCTCAGTTTTTTAACAGTGTTTCAGTCAGTAATTATCTGGACTAGGCAGGGGCTGAAAGAAAAAGGAAGTCGCGGTTGATTTAAATGTGCTAGCCAGGAGAACAGGGGCGCCCCTCTGGCCCCTGCCCACAGCCACGTGTCCCTTCTGCACGCCCCTCAGCCGTCCACCTGACACCGGTGGGGAGGCCTGGAAGGCTGGTGCGGGAGCCCCGCACGCGCATGCGCTCTTGGTGTCTGTCCCTGGGTATTCTGTTCTGGGGCGCCCAGAAGAGCAGCGGAGGAGAGGCTAGCCAGAACACCTGCTTTGGCACACGTGCCATTCAGATGAGACAGGGCCTGGGGTTAGCCCTGCTCTGAGGCTTGGCCAATCAAATGCCGAATCAGGGCAGGGCTGGTGAGATGGGGACTTGAGCTGGAGTCAACTCCAAAACATTTCAGCTTCTTAAAAACCAGTGTGGCCAGCCGGCACCGCAGCTTACTAGGCTAATCCTCCGCCTGCAGCACTGGCACACTGGGTTCTAGTCCCAGTCAGGGCTCCAGATTCTGTCCCGGTCACTCCTCTTCCTGTCCAGCTCTCTGCTATGGCCCGGGAGTGCAGTGGAGGATGGCGGAAGCCCTTGGGCCCTGCACCCGCATGGGAGACCAGGAGAAGCACCTGGCTCCTGGCTTTGGATCGGTGTGGTGCGCCGGCCACAGCGGCCATTTCGGGGGTGAACCAATGGAATGAAGACCTTTCTCTCTGTCTCTCTCTCTCACTGTTCATTCTGCCTGTCAAAAAATAAAATAAAAAATAAATAAAAATAAAAACCAGTGTGGCCATGTCAGTGTGGGGGTCATCCCTGACCGTAGCCCTCCTGTAGCTGGCCAGGTGACACAGGAAGCCCTGCTCCTACAAAGCAGCCTTGAGATCAAAGCCTTCCCCTTGGACTCCTGGACCCGGCCTTGTTGTGGGAATGCCACCAAGAGGCTGAAAGTGCTGGTGGCGCGCTGGGTCCAGAAGGTGCTCCCGGTCGGTGTTCCTCCGCCGCCCCTTGCATCTCCCTGTGTGGAGCCCCCGGGTCAGTCTGCACGTGGGCACTGCTGGCTTGCCGCTCACCGCGGCTGTGCCCCGGCCTGTGTGGCCACTGACTTCAGGAAGCCTCGTGGTGCGTTTGTAGAGGAGCCCCAGGCTGGGTGCCGAGGCAGGTTCAGACATGAAGACACGGTTCTTCCCAGAAGTACAGACCCAACGTACTTTTTAGGGCTGGAAAACAGACACAGAATAGTCCAAGAAGCCTGAGGGTGAAACTGCATATAAAAGACCAGGCTTATTTATTTATTTGAAAGGCAGAGTTAAAGAGAGGTCTTCCATCCACTGGTTCACTCCCCAAATGGCCACAACGTCCAGGGCTGGGCCGGGCTGAAGCCAGGAAGCCAGAAGCTTCTTCTGTGTCTCCCACATGGGTGCAGGGGCCCAAGCCCCTGTGCCATCTTCTGCTTTCCCAGGGCATAGCAGGGAGCTGGATTGGAAGTGGAGCAGCTGGGACTCACACGGGTGCCCAGGTGGGATGGCGTGTTGCAGGCAGGGCTTCACCTGCTATGCCACGGTGCCGGCTCCAAAAGACCAGGTTTGTTAGACTTGTACTGCCAAATCATTTTCTCTGAGGGTGAGTCTTTAATTACTGCTGTTTTTCTTGTAGCACCGCAGTGACGTCTGCCAAAGTGGCTGTGAACGGCGTGCACCTGCATTACCAGCGGACCGGCGAGGGCGAGCACGCGGTCCTGCTGCTTCCGGGGATGCTGGGTCTGGATGCTTTCCTGGTGCTTCCGCATGCTGTGTGGTCGCTGGGATGCAGCCACAGTGCCGGCCAAGGGTTATTTCCCAACTCAGTGCTTTGCTGAATGTTTCAAGTCATATTTGCTACAGTCACGTTTAAGTGCCTTAGAAAAGTGCATGACTTCCTACTGCATGTATTTTTTTCGTTGCTTTGTCTCTAGTTTTTCCCATAAGCACAGTGAGAAGCCACAGTTGCCTGTAATTGGGAAGGTGGCAGGGGTGTGAGAAGGGAACGATGAGAGAACAAGGTCAGTGGGTGTCCGGCCCTCCTAGAGTGCCTGGCGTCCAGCGGTTTCCCAGGATGTGGACTTCCGGTGCTAAAACCAGGACAAGTGGAGCACCCTGTTGTTGAGAATTTGTTCAGTTAAAGTAAGAGGTAAAAAGAAACCTTCAAGTCCTTTTGAAAATCAAAGATGTCCATATTACCCTGGCATTATGTAGGGCAAGGGGAGCCCACTGGGTCTCGGGCTCCTGCCCCAGAACAGGTGTTGAAGTTCAGGGGAAGTTGCCAGCGCCGCGGCTCACTAGGCTAATCTTCCGCCTTGTGGCGCTGGCACACCGGGTTCTAGTCCTGGTCGGGGCACCGGATTCTGTCCCGGTTGCCCCTCTTCCAGGCCAGCTCTCTGCTGTGGCCCAGGAGTGCAGTGGAGGATGGCCCAAGTACTTGGGCCCTGCTCCCCATGGGAGACCAGGAAAAGTACCTGGCTCCTGCCATCGGATCAGCGCCGTGTGCCGTGTGCCGGCCGCAGCGCACCAGCCGCGGCGGCCATTGGAGGGTGAACCAACGGCAAAGGAAGACCTTTGTCTCTGTCTCTCTCTCTCACTGTCCACTCTGCCTCTCAAAAAAATAAGACCAAGAAGTTCAGGGGCAGTTTACGGTGGTCCCAGGACGTGCCGTGTGTGGCTTTAAGGGGTTTTATTTTATTGCTTTATTTTTAATTCAGTTAAACAACCCTGGCATATACTCACTTCCTTGTGATTTGCTCCTTTCTCCTGACAATTAAGGGCAAACATTTTTCAGTTGATTGGTGGTCCACCTGAGCCCAGCTGACTGGCATGGTGCTGTGGCTAGTGCGGCCTGTGTGTCCATGGCAGTGTTGGGGAACGTGGAGCCTGTGGGCTGTATCAGTCTTGCAGAACCATTTGTCCTGGCCCTGCTAAGGCAACTGCAGGTGGGACTTAAATTCAATAAATCTATAGCAGGCTAATTTTTTTTTTTTTTTTTTTTGGATTTAAAAGCAAGATTCATTAGAGTCGAAGACATCCAGGCAGAGTGGCAGGGAGGAGGGGCAGGCTAATTTTCAAGTTGACAATTTTGTGTGGCCCACGGTTGATGTTATAAATATCCAGATGGTCCTTGGCCCAAAAAAAAAAAAAAAACCAAAAAAAACAAAAAAAAACAAAATGTTCTCCATCTGATGGTGTTTAGTACCTTTTTAAATCCATAATTATTTGCAAGTAATGAAGGAGGGCATTTACTCTGATGGCTGGCTGTAAGCCGGAGTTACCTGTAAAACCAGTGACTTCAGACTTCCATTATTTCAGCATTGCAGCCGTTATCCAGGCACAAGATGCTTTTTCTAATTAGTTACTGTTGGTGTAGAGCATCGGCATGCTTCCAGAACCCAAGCCAGTGAAATTCTCACATCCTGGCCCCCAGCACCTGTCGCCCTCTCCACGGGCGTCACAGGTCCTGGGCACTGGTATCCGTGGACATACGCTTGGGCTCCCCATTCATTCTTCGAAGGCTTAGTTTCCCGTTCTTGGCACCGGGCTTTCTACGTGGGGGTGTGCCAGATTCCTGTGGTTGTCTCCAGCCTGTTTTCCCTGCCCCTCCCTATTCCCTCCTGCCCCCTGTAGAAGCCCTGCAGGTCAAGGACCTCCAAGAAGGCTCCTGTGTTCGGACAGTCCTAGCTTGACAGTCCATTGATTTTTTTTTCTTTGTTTTTTCTGAATGATTCACCTGTGTGAAATGAGCCTGCACCACCTTGAAAGACACTTTTGAATACAGCCAGGGCACCGGGCAAGGTGTTCAGTGTGCATCTGTGGCCTGAGCTCTGTTTGCTGGAAGTCGAGTGGATTTTACAAGTGAAATGCTGACCTGGCCTGGACCAGGCTCTGGGAGAGAGTGCAGTGCCTTCACACCATGTGTAGTGGGTGTGAACATACACACCTGTGTCACCCCATGGGCAGGCCAGGGGCTGCCAGTCAAGGCCGCCACAGGCTCTGTTTATTATAGTTCTGTGCTGTTTTAATCAAACAAACTTAAATTGATTTCTTCCCTTCATGCCTCCCCTAACCCCTATCGAGGTGTTTCAGTTTTCTGATTTTTTTTTCAATTTTTTGTAGATTTATTTACATATTTGAAAAAGTTACAGAGAGAAGGAGAGAAAGACAGATCTTCCATCCACTGGTTCACTCCCCAAATTGGCTGCAATGGCTGGGGCTGAGCCAGGCTGAAGGCAGGGACCGGGAGCTTCATCTGGGTTGCCCATGTGAGTGGCAGGGACTGGCACTTGGACCATCCTCTGCTGCTCTCCCAGGACATAGCAGAGAGCTGGATCGGAAGTGGAGCAGCCGGGACTAGAACCAGAGCCCATATGGGATTCCGGCACTGCAGGTGGCGGCTTTACCCACCATGCCACAGCCCCATGAGTTTTTGTTTTTGTTTTTTTAAATAAAAATTTTTTAAATAAAATAGCCTATAAGCATACATCTGTAAGTTAGTTTCTAAACATTTTCACTAATTATTTCAAAAAAAGAAAATGAAAATTAAGCTCAAGGGGTATGAAAAATGCTGAAATAAAAAAGGAACAAAGGAAGTTAGAGCCTCGTTTCTTCTGAAAATAGATAGCCAGGCAGCGGCGGAGCAGGGCGTCAGCGACAGATCTGAACTGCGCCAGGACAACAGTTCCACCTCCCAGTGAATGAATTCAGCAGTGACCGGCCTGCCTTGCTGATGGCCAAGTGGAGACTAGCTGTAGTGCTTCTCTTTTGAGAGACAAAGAGCTCCCGTTTGCTGGTTCACTCCCTAAATGCCCACAACTGGGCCAGAGCCAGGAGCTAGAAACTCAGTCCAGGTCTCCCACATGCATGGCAGGCACTCAGCCACTTGAGCCATCACCTGCTGCTTCCCAGGGTGCACCAGCAGGAATCTGGTGTCAGGGTCGGGAGCCGGGAAGCGAAGGCAGGCGTTGCGGTGTGGGACGCCGGCCTCAGCCACAGGCCCAATGCCTGGCGCCAGCCCTCTGTTTTAGGGTGATTATTGCTTCTCTCGTGCTGTGCCATGTTTGATACAGTGAGAGCATTCGGCTGAGGTAACCTTAATGCTGTTTTTAGGAAGTGGCGAGACTGATTTCGGACCCCAGCTTAAGAACCTAAGTAAGAAGCTGTTCACGGTGGTAGCCTGGGACCCTCGGGGATACGGACATTCCAGGCCCCCGGATCGTGACTTCCCAGTGGACTTTTTTGAGAGGGATGCCAGAGATGCCATTGATCTGATGAAGGTGGGTCCCAGGGAAGCACCCAGCGGTGGGGGATGGCCGGGCACCTTCATTCACTTTGTTTGATTTTGTTGTCCTTTTTCTCTTTTACAAAGATAATACCCTGTAAGAAATTTCAAAGCAAATGGTTTGCACGTCCCTAATCCCAAAATAGAAAATCCTTACAGTGTTCCAGAATCTGAGACTTGTTGAGGCAGACATGGTGCCACAAGTAGAAAATTCCACACCTGACCTACAATAGGTTGCAGTCAATGTAGGTGCACTAAAAATATTGTAGGAAATCACCTCAGGCTAGTGAAACTGGATCTATGAAACATAAATGAATTTCACGTTTATACTTGAGTCTCATTCCCAAGATACTCATTATATAACTGCAAATATTCCAGAATCTGAAAAAAAGAATCTGAATCTAAAATACGTCTTGGTCCCAAGCATTTTGGGTAAGGGTCTTAACTTCTATAAAGAAGAAAGATCCCACAATCCAGCCATCTGGAGACCCTACTACCGAGACTTGAAAGACTCTACCTTTCTGGCCCATTTTTCCTACATATTTAAATACCCAGGTTAGTACTGATGGCATCATGCTGTACCAGTGTTTTTGCAACTTGCTGTTTTTATCGAGCAGTTTGTCATCAGGCGGTTCCGTATCAGTAAGTAAGCATTGCATCAGCCTCTCACAGACACAGGTCACAGGAGCCCCCCTTGATCCATGGTTTTGGTTTCCAAGATTTCAGTCTGAAAATTCTAGAAGAAAACAGCTTATAAGTTTTAAATCGTGCAGCACTCTGAGCGGGGTGATGATTCGCCTGGGACATGAGTCCATGCTGTACTGTACACTGCGTAGAGAAAAAGAACTGCTCACAGGAGCCAGTGCCAGCTGCAGTCAGACATCCCCCTTGTGAAGGGAGCCTGCTGTGTCTCATCATATAAAATGTGCTGTGTCCTCACCCATTTTTTCCTAAGGTAGATAAGTAACAATCTTTAAGTTACCTTCTTTCTCCCTGTGATCATGCGTGGCGTGAGCATTCTGTTTGTGGACATTTCAGTCCTCACTTTTTGCTGTACTGTACCATGTCATGGAGCCCAGGACACATGTACAGGGTCCATTACGAGTTTATGAGGTGGCATGCTGGATGGTAGAAGATACAAATGTTCGTGCTACAAGGTCTTGCCAAGTTATTATCTCTAGTAGTCACAGCAGTTTATATCCTGTCAGTAAGCGTCTTGGACGAGTGTTTGTTCATTCCTTCACTGTTGTACCCGAAACGTCTGATTCCAACCAATTAAGACCACCAGGAGCCGAGGCTGGTGCAGATGCAAGAGCTTCATTTCAAAGTCGAGTTGGTCCAACGTCCGCACCAGGCGCAGCTGGGTGCCCCTACCCTAAGGTCGTTAGGGTTTTTATAGTTGAACGTGCAAGTTCAGGTACGCAGTATCTGATAGGCTCGTGCTCTAAATTCATACTTGTCCTAAACTGGCGACTATTCAAGTGAGTAAGCAGTTTGTTGTTGTTTTTGTTTTTGTTTTTCTCTTTGACGTTTAGCACAGGATCCGTTCTTCCTGGCAAGTACTTAGCCAGTGAGTTCAGCATAGGGTCAGGGTTCTTGGTATTATTTTACACAAGCGTCCCACAGGCCTGGCCACCTGGTCTTTATCTTGTTGGCTCGGCCATCTGGTCTTTGAACCAGTTCCCAGGATTTGAAGAAAACTCAAAGGTAAGGGGAGGCTTGTTATTGTAAGATGTTAACTTTCAACATGGCTGAGTTTAAGTTTAACTCCTTCACTTCTAGGCAGCATCTCTTGGGTATAATGTTGGTCCACTTCCTTTTTAGCCCTGGTTAATTCACCTGAGCCTAACCTAATTTCCCCATGACGTTCTCTTCCAGCCGGCCTGTGACCAGCTCTTCCCACGGTTGGGCTCAGTGGCACAGCCAGACGCCGGGCTGCGCGTCATCCGGCAGCTCTGGTCACTGCTGTCCTGGAAGTCCTTGCTCAGGCACGTGCATGTGCACACGGAGTACTGTCAGATCCAAGCACGCTGGTCCCTGCTGCTTCGAGTTTCTCAAGGTTTTATCCCACCGGAAGCCGTAGTTCCCTCGGATTCCAAACCCAGCCCTGCAGTCAGGTTTCAGGAGTTGTATTACTGCAGACTCATTGGGAGAAAGCGTGACGCCACCCAGTGTTAGACGAGGGCGCTCCACACCACCCACCTGTGTTGCTGGTTGCTCCTGACGCCCGGGTTCCTTCGGCAGGGCAGAGGGCGGTAGTAACCTGGGCCCTGCATTCTGTTGTGTGCCACAGGCGCTGCAGTTTAAGAAGGTGTCTCTGCTGGGCTGGAGTGACGGCGGCATAACCGCACTCATTGCCGCCGCCAAGTATCCGTCCTACGTCCGCAAGATGGTGATCTGGGGAGCCAACGCCTACGTCACTGATGAAGACGTCAGGATTTATCAGGGTACGTTCCGCCACCACAGGGCCTGCTCTCCCCACCCTGACCCGTGTCGGCAAGTCGCAGCCTCTCTGTTTTCCGCCTCCCAACTCTGGAGGAAGCGTGCTGAGTGCTCAGAAGCAGCGCAGTGCAGCACCTGGGCTTTAAAGCTTCCTGTTTCAGAAGCGGGACTTGAATGACTCGGGAAAAGCCCGAGTGCGGTCAGCCCCTATGTCACTCTGATACTGCCCTAAGAAGGGACGGGGCGAGGTCAGTGTCGCCAGGAGCCCTGTTAAAAATAACCGCGCTGGATTGAAACGCGAAGCCTCCTCTACAGGTTGAAGGAGCTGCTGTGCCTTCTGCGGTTCGAAAGTCATTCTTCAAGCGTTTCTTAGAGGTTTTTAAGAGGCACCACACAGGCGCTGCACGCCGCAGCCTGTGGCCAGCCTGCGCTGGATCTGCTTTTGCACTGGTGCTGTGGGTCAGAGAGCAGCCTGCAGCGCCCGTGCCCTCCCACTGCCCGTCTGCTCCCCGGGCTGCGCTGGGAGCCCCGGGACACATGGGGACAGTCAGTTACCAGGCAGCGTCAGCCAGCAGCTCAGGAGTCGCTCAGCCTCCAGCTGCTGCCCTGAGACCAGGCTCTCAGGAGGAGGAGGGGTGGGCCAGGGTCTGGGCTGCCCCTTACCACCTGCTGGCAGGGCCGCCCAGGCCCCTCCTCTTCAGCCAGTTGCTCTGTGTCCCGAGTGTTTCCAGAGGACCCCAGACGGCCCCCCAGGCAGTTAGGACAAGGTGGGTAGGCTGTTTCCTGTCCTGCACAAGGCCCCAGCCTCCGGAGCCCAGGGATTCACTCTCCTGGCCTTTTACAAAAGAAGGTTGCAGGGCCCTGGGTGGCGTGTCACCTTCTCCGTGCTTGTGTGAGTCAAGTGGCTGTGTCCGAGCCTGAATGCAGCGTTCTGGTGCGGAACCTTGGCTCTTCACCTCTTTCTGCCTTGTAAAAGAGACAGGAGACTCGGAGGCAGTCCTCCTGCCCGTCCCCACCGTGTCCTGCCTGGCTCAGAGGAAGGGTCTGCCTTGTGCAGTGCCCTGGTGTTTTCCCGTGGGTCTCTGCCCCACCTCTGCTGTTGCAGTGCCTTCTCACCACAGCAGAGGGAGTGAGTTGCCAGCCCTTGTCTGTAGCTGACACCCTGGACGCCATAGCCTTCCTCAGACGCGTCGAAAGAGCCGCCTGGGCTCTAGGCGTCTGTGCTTTCTCCTGTCTTTCCTTCTCCGGTCCCTTCTGGCCCCTGGCCCCTCCAGCCCACTGCAGGCCACACCACAGGAACTGTTCCCATGGAAATAAGCACAGTCCCCCTCTGGTCTAGGCCAACAAGCACTTGTAGGTTGTTTCTGTCCTTGTTACCTTTAAAACTGTGGGGTCTGTAGTGATAGCTCCTCTTTTTTTCCTGCCTGATATTGTAATCTGGGTCATCTGTATTTTTTTTTCCTGGCCAATCTAGCTAGAGGTCTATCAACTTCATGGATCTTTTTAAAGAACGAGCTTTTGGGTTTACTGACTTATTTCTGCTGCTTTCTGTTTTCAGTGTCATCGCTTCTACTCTTGATTATTTTCTTTCTTCTCCATGCTTTGAGTTTTAATTTACTTTCCTCTCCATTGTCTCAAAGTAGAAATTTAGCTTCTTGATTTGAGGCCTTTCTTTTTTTTTTTCTAATCTAAGCATTATACACTATCAGTTTTACTTTAAGCACTGCTACAACTAAGCTTCCTACACATTTTGATATCTTGTACTTTTGTTCAGTTCAAGATACTTTCTGATATTCCTCCAGACTTCCTCTCTGATCCAAGCTTATTTAGAAATATATTATTTAGTTTCCGAATTTAGAGATTTCCCAGATATTTTTCTGTTATCTGTATTGAGTTTATTATCATTAGATTCAGAAAATATACTTTATGTGATTTCAATTCTTTTAAATTTCTTAAGGCTCATGTTATGCCCCAGGATATGATCTGCCTTGGTCCAAAATTGAACTTACTGGGGCCAGCCTTATGGTACTGTCGCTCCCCGTCTTCGTGGAGGAACGACACAGGACCCTGCGCTGTTCTTTTGTCTGCTCGGCCCTCCCCGGGTTTGCTGCTGATTCTTCCCGGGTTGGCTACCGTGGAAGGGCGGTTCCCCCTAGCCACTTTCCCCACTTCCGCGGGGGAGCGGCACACTGCCGGCCGGCTCTCTCGGGGGCTGCACAGGTGTTCCTTCAGATAGATGTTCCCCTTAGATGTTCCTCGTGCATGTTGTCTCTCTCCTCCTTTATAGTCCTCTTCCACCAATCCCAACTCTGCTACCCACACGCCGAGTACGCTGCTCTCCTCCAATCAGGAGCAGCTCCTGCAGCTTGTCAAGTTGGCGAGAGGCAGCTGGGTAGAAGCTGTTTGCTCCTCTCCCAGCGCCATATTGTGGGAGAGCAGATGCATAGAATAAGTCTTAATTCCAGTAACTTAGTCTAGTCCGAGTTGCTCCCCACAGGTACAATGGGTAAAACCTCTGCCTGTAGCACTGGCCTCCCATATCAGCATCATTCAAGTCTCGGCTTCTCTGCTTCCAATCCAGTTTCCTGCTGAACTGCCTGGGAAGATAGCAAATGATGGTCCAAGTGCTTGAGCCGCTGCCACCCACATGGGAGACCAGGGTGGAGTTCTGGGGTTTCGGTTTTGACCTGTTCCAGCTCTAGCTATTGTGGCCGTTTGGGGAGTGAACCAGATAATCAAAGATATTTCCCTCTCTCTCTGTCCCACTCTCTGTCCTTCCACCTTTCAAATAAATAAAACTTTAAAATGAGCTTCTTATTTCATGATGAATCCTTCACCCTACACACACACCTCACTCACCTGTCCTTTCCCTGAGTCTCTGTCAACAGACACGAAAGCCAGAACCCAGGGTTGTCCCTTGAAGGCCCCTCCTCTGCCCTCTTGTTTAATGTGGCTGCACTCGGATGCCACCCAGCCTGTCCCCACCTCTCCCTGTCCTCCTGGCCCCTGTTCTGCCCTCTTGTTTAATGTGGCTGCACTCAGATGCCACCCAGCCTGTCCCCACCTCTCCCTTCCCCACCGTCCACCTGGCCCCCGTTCTCCTAGTGTAGCTTGTCTCCTAGCGTGGGAGAGTTTTCCTACTTAAAGTCCTGGAGTAACGTCAGTGAGGTCCAAGCGGCCTGGCTGCCCGTGCCAGTACTGCCCACCCGGCCCTTCTAGACACGTCTTCCTTTTCCCTCGGCCCTCTTGTGCGTTTCCCACACCACATCAGTTGCCACTCCTGACGCCAGCCTTCGCCTCCACACTGCTTTGCCCCATGCCTTCTGATACGCCGGCTCGCACTGGCCTCCCCTCCAGCCAGGCTCCTCAGCAAGCGAGTCCTCCCCCCAGCACCCAGCTCCGAGCACCACCTCCACGCAGGCGTCCCTGAACACTTGACCTGCTGGGTGCCCGTCCCTCTGAGACCCTGAGACGCTGCACTGACGTGCACGGTGGCCCTTTGTCCTGTGCACCCCCATCCCCTCCCTCCCCTGCCTCAGTCACTGTAAACTCCAAGTGTGCGGTTGCTCTGGCTCTGCACTCGCTCAGCCCTGTGCCTAACGTGTCCCGTGCAGTGCCTCTCTGCTTTCTTCCCACTGCTTTGTTCCCCGGCCTGACCCCCCAGTCCAGCAGAGGCAGTGCCTTCTGGGAGCCTGCGGGAGGGACACTTGGCTGCCCTGTGGTTCCATGCTCACTCTGCAGCCTGTGAAAATAGGCTCATGATATGTGTGCTGCTGATCACTCCCGTCTTCTGGAAGGTTCTCCAAGTTAAAGTCCTGGCCACTGTGTTCTCTGCGTGGATGCCTCCTGTTCCTGGCTCTTCTCTGGCTTTGTGTCCAGCGGTTGGTCTCTCATTTTACACCCATCCCAGGACTGGTCTCCTCTTACTCCCAAATCCCAGGCACTTTCTGCTGGATTTTCTCATCTCATCTGGTCGCCCCACACACACCTGAAATTTGGTGTGTAGAAGACTAACCCATGATGTTTCCTCCAGACCTGTACCTCCTCTAAAATTTCTCACCTTGATAAGTGATGCCCAGCGGGTTACATGAGCCCCCTTATCTGTGGTTTCCTTTTGTACGGTTCCAGTTGCCTGTGGTGAACTAGGGCTGAAAATATTACATAGAAAATTCTGGAAACTATAAGTTTGAAGTGATCTTTATTATAATATATCATTACAGTTGTTCTATTTCATTATTATTCATTGTTGTGAATCTCTTATCATGCCTGTTGTAGAGCTCTATGATAGAAACGTACACGCAGGGAAAAGCAGCGTCAGGCAGGACTCAGTACTGTCCTCCTTTCGAGACGTTTACTGAGGGTCTTGAAACCTGGCCCTGCAGAGAAGGGAGATGACGGCACCGCTCTTGTGGGTTCTTGACTGGACCGCAGGGCCCGTGAAGTCAGAGCCCATACCTGACTCGAGTTGTGCCAGCACTAACACTTAGTTGGCCTCAAATAATGTTCTCTGGATTAATTCACTAACTAATGCTGTGTGAACACACTTTCTCCATTACAGTTCCACCATTTGGTTCCATTACATGCTTAAAAAAAATTGTATCCTTGGGGATACAAATTCTGTTTTGAATCAGCAAACTGATTCAAGTGGCTAGTCTGGAAACTTCACTGTGAAACATAACTGCTACTTAGTTTTTTATGGTAATTGTGCTTGGGGACAAAACTCTCTCTCTCTTTCTCTCTCTCTCTTTTTAAGATTTATTTATCTATTTGAAAGGCAGTTACAGAGAGGCAGAGGCAGAGAGAGAGAGGTCTTCCATCCGCTGGTTTATTCCCCAGTTGGCCGAAATGGCTGGAGCTGCATGGATCTGAAGCCAGGAACCAGGAGCTTCTTCCAGGTCTCCCACACAGGAGACCCAAGGACCTGGGCCGTCTTCTACTGCTTTCCCAGGCCATGGCAGAGAGCTGGATCGGAAGTGGAGCAGCTGAGACAGGAACCAGTGCCTAT